TTGGTGGAGTTTGCTTATAACAACAGCTATCAGTCCAGTATTCAGATGGCACGGTATGCAGCTTTAAATGGGAGACAATGTAGTTCTACAGTGGGTTGGTTTGAGCCGAGTGAAGCCAGATTATTGGGCACAAACTTAGTTCGGGATGTGTTGGAGAAGGTTAAGGTGATTCAGGATAGACTATACATAGCCTAGACCAGATAGAAGAGTTACACGGACCGAAATGTTCGTGATGTTTCCTATATAGTTGGAGAGCGGGTTTTGCTTCGGGTTTCGCCTATGAAGGACGTTATGAGATTCGGGAAGAGAGGAAAGTTGAGTCTGAGATTTATTGGCCCTTTTGAGATATTGAGGCATTTTGGGGAGGTTGCTTGTGAGCTTGCCTTACCTCCCAGCTTGGCAGGAGTTCATCCGTCATTTCATGTTTCGATGCTCCGGAGGTATCACGGTGACCCATCGCACGTGTTGGATTTTAGTTCAGTCCAGTTGGACAAGGATTTATCTTATGTTGAGGAGCCAGTGGCAATATTGGACAGACAAGTCAGAAAGCTAAGATCAAAAAATATTGCATCAGTGAATTTTCAGTGGCGGGGTTAGGCGGTAGAGGAGGCGACCTGGGAGACTGAGCAGGATATGTGCAACCGTTACCCTCATCTTTTCACTACTTCAGGTATGTCTCTATGCTTGTTTGAGGATGAACGAATGTTTAAGTGTAGGAGGATGTGACGATCGGGCCGGTCGTCTTAAGAATTAATGCCCTGATCCCCTATTAACTACTTTCCCCGAGTCTATTTCTGCTATTTTGATTTGCCAGGATGTCCGGTTTTGAGTTTCGGAAAGCTTTGGGATACTTAGTCCCTAAATGAGAGTATAAGTGTTGGAAAGTTGACCGTATTCGGAATAATGTAAAGACAACCTCAGAATGGAAATCTGATGGTTCCGCTGGCTCCGTTGGGTGATTTCGGGATTAGGAGTGTGTTCAGATTGTGTTTTATAGGTCCATAGCTAATTTAGGCTTGAAATGCCGAAGGTTGAATTTTTGATGTTTTTGATTCATTAGCAAGAATTTGATCCGAGGGTTGGAATGGAATTTCGAGAGTTGCAGTAGTTCTGTTGTGTTATTTGGGATGTGTGTGCAAAATTTCATGTCATTCGGACGTGGTTTGGTTGGGTTTTTGATCAAAAGCGGAATTCGGAAGATTTTAGAAACTTAGGCTTGAACCCGATGTGTTTTGGTTGATTTGATGTTGTTTGAAGTGTTTTGAAGATTGGTACAAGTTTGAATAAGGTATTAGGTGATGTTTGTACTTTTGGTTAAGGTACCCGGGGCCTCGAGGTGATTTCGGATAGTTAACGGAGAGTTTGGAAATTTTGAGGAAGTTTCAGATTTTCTGCTTCTGGTGTTTCCGCACCTGCGGATTGGGGACCGCAGGTGGGATGCCACAGATGCGGGGAAAAGGAGCGCAGAAGCGGAAAGGGCCTGGGAAGGCTGGAACCGCAGAAGCGGCTTAGGGGCCGCATCTGCGATGCAGCAGATGCGGAAAAAGCGAACGTAGAAGCGAAAATTGAGACTTAAATGAAAAACTGTAGATGCGGTTCAAGGACCGCAAATGCGGTACCGCAGAAGCGGAAATTGGGCCGCAGATACGAAAATGCCTGGGCCAGAACATATAAATAATTGCCTTCGCGAATTTGAGCTATTCTTTCACCATTTTTATCCGGGTTTGAAGCTTTTGAGAGATTGTTTTGAGGAAAACAAAGTGGAATCACTTGGAGGTAAAAACCTTGACTTCATAACTCATTTTTATATGATTAAAGACGTAATTAGTAGTGAAAAATTTGGAAAAATGGGTAATTAGGGCTTGAGTTTAATAGACCATTAAATGAGGATTTGAGGGGTCATTTGGACTCCGATTTCAGTGTTCTTGTTATGTATAGACTCTTGAGAGTACGAGGTTTCTGAAAATGCAAATTTGACCCGATTCCGAGATGTGAGACCGAGGGGCATTTTGGTTATTTTACATAATTTCGCGTATTAGCTTAGACTTTAATTGTAGAATCAGTTACTTGAAGTGTTATTTATATTATGCAATTGAATTGAATAGATTTGAGCCATTTGGAGTCGAGTACTCGTGGCAAGAATGTGGTCTCGGGTTGATTTTTGAGCCGGTTCGAGGTAAGTGGCTTGTCTAACCTTGTGTGGGGGACCTTCCCCTTAAGATATGATATATTTGATAATTGAAATGCCTTGTACGTAAGGTGATGAGCGCGTACTTGAGCTAATTGTTTAAAATCCGTTTTTTCCTTAAGTATTTCAATTGAGTTCTTTTTTCCTATTTTATTCTACTTGCGAATTTAGCCGGTTACTAGTTTAGAAAAGCATGTTTAGTTGAATTAATTGCCTATTTGCTTAAACTACCTTAATTTCATTATGTGAAGCATGTTAGGCTAGAATTAACTATTTACTTGGTACAAAATTTAGCTTAATTGGGTATTCTTGTGTTGCTGCTGTGTGTTTTTACTTTGGGACTATGGGACGACATCCCAGGAGATCCCCTGTACGTATTTATGATCTGAACTGAGGTGCAGGATACCAAGAGATTCCTGGCATGTATATTGAGGATAGCAAGAGATCCTCGAGATACCGAGAGATCCCTAGCATATATTGAGGAGACCAAGAGATCCCTAGGAATTATTGAGTATACCAAGAGATCCTCGCGATACTGAAAGATCTCTAGCATATATTGAGGATACCAAGAGATCCTCGGGATACCAAGAGATCCCTAGCATATATTGAGGATACTAAGAGATCCTCGGGATACCTAGAGATCCCAGAGTATCATCCTTGTTATGAGTGGTACTTCTTTGTGGTTTGCATTCATCTCTATTTCCGTTATTGTTCTCTTATTATCTTGTGTAGATTCTTTCTGTAGATTTTCAATTGTACTGATTATCTTATCCTGACATCTTTATATTTATTTAATTTCAGTAGGGCTCTAACCTTCCTCGTCACTACCCAACCGAGGTTAGGCTTGGCACTTACTGAGTACCGCTGTGGTGTACTCATGCCTCTTCTGCGCATGTTTTTCATGTGCAGATCTAGGTACCGCAACTCAGGCCTATCATCCTTGAGGAAGCGACTGTTGTAGAGACTTCGAGGTACATCTTTCACGTCCGCAGACCGAGAAATCCCTTTCTGTTCCTGCTTTAGTATTTAGCCCTTCTGTATTTTTCTGTTCTTATTAGACATTCTGGAGTTAGAGCTATGTAGTATTGATCTTAGCTTGTGATTCATGGGTTTCTAGGTCTTGGATTTACGTATTAGTATTGAGAGTTAAAAATGGTGTATGCTAAGCGGCACATTAAAACTCTATTATTACTTTATTCCTATTTTAAATTATTTTACTTCCGCAAATTTTGGTTTTCTTCCGCAATTTAGGCTTACCTAGTCCTAGAGACTAGGTACCATCACGATGGTTCACGGAGGGCGAACCGCGGTCGTGACAGATAACGAGTCATAAAGAAAAATTCATATCCCGAAATTTACGTATATTTTCCTAGTTTTGTAAGTTACAATATTCTCCTTATCAGGTCTTCATATTTAATTGAGTATTTCCTTCTTCCAATAAAGACAACAGAGAGTTTATATATATAATATTAACGTATTTTCATTACCATCGAGCTATAATCGATGGGCAGGCCACTATTGGGCAACCTCTGATCAGATGGTAAGTGATATACCGATCCTACTATGGCCGAGCGCCTATGAGCGAGCCAAGTTGGTCAAGATATAGAACCTAGTATGGCCGAATGCCTATGAGCGAGCCTACTATGGCAGAGCAGTTATATATATACCGAGCCTTACAGGGCCCGACAACTATTTTACTTACTATATTGAGAGAGTTGAGTCAGTATCAACAGGTAAGCATATCTTCAGATTATCTTTGACTTCTAGCTACTTGCAGTTATTATTATCAGTTCAGTTTCAACTTTCAATATATTGCCTTACATACTCAGTACATTATTTCGTACTGACGTTCCTTTTCTGGGGGCGCTGCATTTCATGCATGCAGGTTCAGACAGACAGACGGGTAGGCCTCCTCATTAAGTGTTGCCCGAGTTCAGCTTGATCGGTAAGCTCCATGCCTTTCGGAGTTGCCGGGTCTAGAGCCTTATGTACATCTTATATATATATGTATATATGTTATGAGTAGGTCGGGGAGCTGTTCCAATCACAGTACATCTTTCAGTAGAGGCTTGTAGACATACCTTATTAGTTAGCGCAGTATGTTGGGCTTTCAGGTCTTGTATGTATATTTGGCTGGTTTGTCAGCAGTAGTAATTATGACGGCCTTGTCAGCCCAGTTTTATATTGACATTTAGCCAGCATTCGCAGCTGTCTTGCAATATGGCCCATGGCCAAAGTATGACATAATATGTTTAGAGTCCCTTAGTTGCAAGTTGGTACGCAAGGATTGCGAGCACCTAATTTTTGTCCTACATGAAAATAACTCCTAAAATAAACCAAAAATAATTTTTAAGGGAGTTTAGAATTTTTTCTTTATTTAGTTGCATTTCATAAATTTTTAATATTTTAAAATCATAAAAAAATGTCACGTTTTAATTTCATGCCATCTTAGGTTCAATTTGCATGTAGGAATTAATTTTATTTAGAAAAATCACAAAAATGGTCACTTTTACATATTTAGCTTTTAGTCTTTAGAAAGTAGTATTTTTATTTAGTTTTAAGTTAATTAGTTATTTTAATAGATAAAAAAAATTAATTTTTACAAATAAGATTGATTTAGGATTAATTTAGGGTTTTATTAGATTTTATAATTAAAGAAAAAGAAAAATAGAAAAAAGATTTTGATTTAGTCTTAGTGTATTGGGCCAAAGTTAATTATCCCAAATTCATGACCCAAATCCTTTCAAGCCCAAAGCCTAATACCCTAAAAAAACCCTTCTTCCTTTAATAAAAACTAAGCTAGGCCCTTAGACCTAGACTATACAAAAGAGGCAGTCGTTTATCATCTGAACCCGCACCCAAAGGGACCCCTCATCTCAACATCATCTTCTTCAAAACTAACGCACAAAATCAGCAGCCATCTTCAACACTAACAGAGGAAACAATCTAAAAACCTTGTATTGAAGCTCCCAACTATGACCCTTCTAGCCAAAACGACCCTTCAGCATATTCAACCTTACACCACATCCACTTTTCTCGATCTCCCTTCACCCTTGCACCCCACCTCCTTAAGCTATGAGAAAATGGCCTCACCAACACATCCATTAATTGACTAATAGGTGCTGGAATTGGATTCGAGTTCGACTAAGGTGAGGTTGATTGAGGCGTTCAAGTTTGATTTTTCGTTCGAGTTCTCGTCGCGCTGTAATTTTCGAAGATTTGAATATACCGGAAAGCGATTCCAGGTCCATGTCCTTTCTCCTTATCTTACTGTTTGGTCTGATTATAAGTATGATAAGAGTTTTGGTTTGAAATAGGTTTAGGCTTGGTAATTTCCTCATTATCTATTTCTTTAGAGTAGTTCAACACTAATTCAGTTTTAATCCAGATCTGACTTTGGATCCAAATGCTTGAATCCGTGTTCAATATATTTAAATATGTCTTGTCTGAAAAATGTTGTTTCTGGTAGTAGCGTGATTTTCATGGTTCCGTATTTGATTAATCTAAACTCAATGTTTGAGATAATATCTTGTCATGTGTTTGGACTTAACTGTTTAATTTTAGAATAATATTCCAATACATGTTCCTTTCATTACTTTGCTAGTCTTTCTTGTAAAATTGTTGAAAATATCAATAGTAGTATAACTTTGTGGAATGATTTAACCTTGTCTTCATGTATTTGGATTTAAGTTAAGATTGGCATGGTATTATGATACATCTACTGTAAATATACTTTAGCATGTTAACATATGTTACTGAAAATTTCTTTCGACACTTTGGGAATCCAGTTTAACTAGGAGTAATTAATTATTTGTGTAATCCGTTATGCAAGAAAGTTCTCCAATCTTCTTTGCTGCCTGTCATGAGTTTTCGTTGATCTATCAGAGTGTAAAGGAAATTTTACCTATTTGACATTATAGTTTTAGTGGGGTCATTTAGACTTATTTAGGTGAATTATGAGTGTCACTTAGGAGTAATACATTCATAAAGGATCTCACAATGACCCCCATAGAGTTGGTTAGACTAATCTTGAAGCAGCAATCATCTCCTGCATCGCTTCTGCCATAGAATCAATTATCTCTTTATCCCCACAACTCTGGTCAAAAGCAGGAGCTATATCTGATGAACACTTCCTCTATTTACAAGATATATTCCTTGTTGTAGTTTGTTGTGAGGTAGCAGCGCTATGTAAAGGTGTTGGCGATGAAGGATTTACAGGAGCCAAGTTGCTAGTTTCTTTACTGTTCCAACGTGTTTTGGATATCATGTCTATTTTGGATGATTATTGAATTTAATTTAAATTTGTTATGATGAATATAAGGTCATGGGTTGGTTATTAGAAGTTTAAAGAAATTTTAGTTGAACATGCTCTTTGTTTTACTTTATTTATTTAATTCTATAACTGTTAGGAGCATGTTAGGCCGACAATACTCGGGTAGGCGAACTTTTAGGCGCGCTTTCAATTTATTATCGTGATTATGTACACGTTCACGTGACATGATTACAGTTTCTAAAATAAACATTCACAGCTTGCTTTAGGCGCGACTTACTTTATTATCGTGATGATGTATACGTTCGCGTAACATATATATGAATTTCGTTCTAAAAGTAAATCGAGGGATGCGTTCGCGCAGCTTCAACCAAACTTTATTAATAATTAAATAAGCGTGATTAATTGTGGACACGTACGCGTGACATAATTTTTGATGCACCAAACGAAATGAGTACACATACGCGTAACTCAATTCTTTAATTACGAATAAATCAAGTGATTAAAAGAGGTAAAAAGATAAATGCACATAGGTTCTAAAATGAGTAGTTAAACAATTTAAGCCAAGTTTATATTGCTAAGCGATCGTGCTAGAACCACGGAACCCGGAATGCCTAACACCTTCTCCCGGATTAACAGAATTCCTTATCTATAATTTCTAGTTTGCAGAATTTTAAATAAAGTCAAAAATTTCCTCGATTTGGGATTTAAAAATAAACCGTTGACTTGGGACACCAAATAAACTATTCAAAGTGACGACTCTAATAAATTAAATAAAATAATTCCATTTCGAATAATGTCACTTTAATTGGAAAAACTCCCTTGTATACCCTCTCGTGGCAGAAAAAGGAGGTGTGACAGCTCTGACGACTCTGCTCGGGACAAGAATCCAGAACTTCTGGTTCAGGGTTCAAGAATTCGAGCTTGTTAATGTGAGTTTTACTTGGCTTTATTAATTATTGATATTACTATATTTTTGTGGACCTAATGTACTAATTGCCATTTATTTACCTCTTTGATATTACTTGAACTGTATTTAAATGTCTTCGTACGCCTCCCTTCTGAGTCTTCTAAAAAAATGGTGCACACGTTCGCGTGACCCACTTTTTCTGTTAGAAGTTATACCAAATAGAACGGGGCTGGGTCAGCAACAAGGCCGGGCAGACTTTCGTGCTCCCGGTACGTTGCCCCATCTTCGGCTCGAGTTTGTTCACCCGGGTAAGCCAGGTTTAGAACACAACCCCATTTTTAAACTTAGAATAACGTAACCTCATACTGTATCCCTAGTAGGAATGCTTATTTGCATCACGTGCATTTGACCTTGGGGACTCAACACAAGGGTTGGGTCTGTCCAAGATAGATGTACCCAAAACAACAAATCATCCTGATGCATCCTACGTGCTATATGAATATTTATTTGTTTTGGCTTGCATGTTGACCAGCTAGAAAAAGAAAATCAAGAGAAAAATCAAGAGTGAGGTAGGATAGAGAATTTACTCGATTCTAAAAATCCCGGCATTTGAAAATGTCTCGAAACTCTGCCAAAATTTTCGAAAAGAAAAAAGAGAGGAAAAGCATTTCAAGAAATAAAAGTGAGTTAGTATCACGTTTTTTACTTTGTCAAAATTGACCAAACTACACGGGTCTGATTCTCATCGGATGTGAGATACGTAGGCAAACCTCATCGGTTCCGACCCCAATTTTGAAAAACCCAAAAATATTTTCCTTTAGTTCCTTCTTTAGAGATCTTTCCTTAGAAAATTCAAAAAAAAAACATTCTTTTTAAACTCAAAAAAGTAGTTTCCTTCTTCTGAAGTCTTTAACACACAAAAAAGAAAAAAAAGAAAAAAAACAAAATCAATAATCAAAATCCAAAATCCAAAATACGAGTTTCCTTTATTTTGAAGTATTTTTCCCAAAAATTCAAAAAACAAATCAGAAACAAAAATCGAAAAATATTTTTTTTAGAAGTCTTTCATTCATAAATGTCATAAAAATTGAAAAATTAAAGTACAAAAATATTTTCGTTAGAAGTATTTTTGTAAATATAAAAAAAAACTCAGAAATCCAAAATATCTTCTTAAAAGTCCCTCTTTCGAAAATTAAGAGGCAACATCTAAAATCCAAAAAATATATATTTTCTTTTGAAATTCCCAAAGTGCGAAATTAAAAGAAAATGAATTTTTAGAAGTCTTTCTTTCAAAAAAATAAAAATAAAATCAAAATAAAAAATCCAAAAAATAAATATTTCCTTTCTTCTTTGAAACCATTTCTTTCGGGAAAAAAAACAACAAAACAAAGAATTGAAAAAAAAAATATTTTTCTTTTGCCTCAAAGCTTTCATGGTCTGAGTTTTATAAAAAGTAAAAAAAAAAGGAGTTAGCTTATTTACTCCATTCTTAATCTTCCCAAACTATGCAAGATCTGATTCATGCGGCGTCATGATACATATGCAATCCCTATCGGATTCGATCACAACCATAAAATAAATTGAGTGAAAAATAAACTGAAAAAAAAAGAAAGAAAATTGAGTGAAATAAAAGTGATAAAAAAAAAAAAAAGAAAAAAGAGAGTAACAAAAAATAAAGAGGGACAAAAATGAAAAAGAAAAGAGAGGGACCAAAAATAAAAGAGCGACAGAAACGAAATGAAAAAAAATAAAAAAAAAGAGGTACATACTGAAAGAGTTAGTTAAGGCTGGGATGAAACATGCAACCGTTCAAACACATGGTAGAAGCGTTTAACTATTAGATGCATTGCATCCCAACGTGGGATTTCCTATATGTTAAATATCTCAAAACTAACAAGGTTGTTGGGTGTGCAAACTATCCAGGTTTATTTTTGTTGGTAGTCTAGCCTCCCTATTTTTCTATGATTTTAAAATATTAAAAATTCATGAAATGCAACTAAATAAAGAAAAACTTCTAAGGGACTCTGAACATATTATATCATACTTTGGTCATGGGCCATATTGCAAGACAGCTGCGAATGCTGGCTAAATGTCAATATAAAACTGAGCCGACAAGGCCGTCATAATTACTACAGCTGACAAACCAACCAAATATACATACAAGATCGGAAAGCCCAACATACTGCGCTAACTAACAGGATATGTCTTCAAGCCTCTACTGATAGATGTATTGTGATTGGAACAGCTCCCCGACCTACTCATANATATATATATATATAAGATGTACATAAGGCTCTAGATCCGGCAACTCCGAAAGGTATGGAGCTTACCGATCAAGCAGAACTAGGGCAACACTTAATGAGGAGGCCTACCCGTCTGTCTGTCTGAACCTACATGCATGAAATGCAGCGCCCCCAGAAAAGGAGCGTCAGTACGAAATAATGTACTGAGTATGTAAAGCAATATATTGAAAGCTAAAACTGAACTGATAATAATAACTGCAAGTAGCTGGAAGTCAAAGATAATCTGAAGATATGCTTACCTGTTGATACTGACTCAACTCTCTCAATATAGTAGGTAAAATAGTTGTCCGGCCCTGTAAGGCTCGGTATATATATATATAAAACTGCTCTGCCATAGTAGGCTCGCTCATAGGCGTTCGGCCATACTAGGCTCTGTATCTCGACCAACTAGGCTCGCTCATAGGCGTTCGGCCATACTAGGCTCTGTATCTCGACCAACTAGGCTCGCTCATAGGCGCTCAGCCACAGTAGGATCGGTATATCACTTACCATCTGATCAGAGGTTGCCCAATAGGGGCCTGCCACTCGATTATAGCTCGATGGTAATGAACATACATTAATACTGTATATATAAACTCTCTGTTGTCTTGACTAGAAGAAGGAAATACTCAATTGAATATGAAGTCCCGATAAGGAGAATATTGTAACTTACAAAACTAGGAAAATATACGTAAATTTCGGGATATGAATTTTTCTTTATGACTCGTTATCTGTCACGACCCCGGTTCGCCCTCCGTGAACCATCGTGATGGCACCTAGTCTCTAGGACTAGGTAAACCTAAATTGTGGATGAAAATCAAAATTTGCGGAAGTAAAACAATTTAAAACAGGAATAAAGTAATAATAGTGTTTAAATGTGCCGCTCGGCATACACCATGTTTAACTCTCAATACCAATACATAAATCCAAGATCGGAAAACCCACGAATCACAAGCTAAGATCAATACTACATAACTCTAACTCCAGAATGTCTAATAAGAACAGAAAACTATAGAAGGGCTAAATACTAAAGCAGGAATAGAAAGGGACTTCTCGGTCTGCGGATGTGGAAAATGTACCTCGAAGTTTCTAGATCAGTCGCTTCCTCATGGATGATAGGCCTGAGTAGCGGTACCTGGATCTGCACATGAAAAACATGCGCAGAAGAGGCATGAGTACACCATAGCGGTACTCAGTAAGTGCTAAGCCTAACCTCGGTTGGGTAGTGACAAGGAAGGTTAGAGCCCTACTGAAATTAAATAAATATAAATATGACAGGATAAGATAAGCAGTACAATTAAAAATCTACAGTAAGAATCTACACAAGATAATAAGAGTAAAATAACGAAAATAGAGATGAATGCAAACCACAAGGAAGTACCATTCATAACAAGGATGATACCCGGGGATCTCTAGGTATCCCGAGGATCTCTTAGTATCCTCAATATATGATAGGGATCTCTTGGTATCCCGAGGATCTCTTAGTATCCTCAATATATGATAGGGATCTCTTGGTATCCCGAGGATCTCTTGGTATCCTTAATATATGCTAGAGATCTTTCGGTATCGCGAGGATCTCTTGGTATCCTCAATAATTCATAGGGATCTTTTGGTATCCTCAATATATGCTAGGGATCTCTCGGTATCTCGAGGATCTCTTGATATCCTCAATATACGTGCCAGGAATCTCTTGGTATCCCGCACCTCAGTTATTATAAATATGTATAGGGGATCTTCTGGGATGTCGTCCCGTGGTCCCAAAGTAAAAACACACAATAGCAACACAAGAATACACAATTAAGCTAAATTTCGTACTAAGTAATTAGTTAATTCTAGCCTAACACACTTCACATAATGCAATTAAGGCAGTTTAAGCAAATAGACAATTAAGTCAATTAAACA